AAATTTGGCAGCCACTTTGTATGACGACAAAATGTGATCAAATCTTTTACTAAATTAACGACACTTTTTACTCAATATCTCGGAAGCTAAATGAGGTATTCAACAATGGAGAACGCTATTTTTAAGATATTGATTAGTTTAATATGACTGCATCACTAACTAAATTTCTACAAACTATCGAAAAAATTGTAGTCAATATCTCCGAAACTAAAGGAGATATCCAAAAACTGATAACGCCAATCGAAAGTCCTTATTTCAAAATATATAACTGCACCTAGAACTAAAAATCGTCAAAATTGCGCTTACGACAATTTTTACCCAGGCGACGGTGTGTTTTCAAGTAGTTTTCATCGAAAACGTGCATAGACTTAAATGCACACGCTTGCCATGGCAGCAAGCATAAAAATTGCAAGTGCACTTCCAACTGCAAGTTCAAGAGCATTTCCACAACATCCTGAACAGCCCTTTTGTTTTTGTTCTTCTTCTTGTGCACTATTCACAATACTGTCAGTGTTGGACTTTTTTAGGTGTTCTAAACCAGCCGGCAGGACCAGATGAGGAGTGGTGATCATTGTGGAAAACACCGTTGGTGATCTGCGGCATGATGGAAGGTGAGGTTCCAAATTCAGATGTACTGATTAAGGACATATTTACAACAGCTGAAAAGTGTCTTACGGATGAAGAAAAAAATCGGCTGCGGGCACAAGATAGCCGCCTCGTGACAGAGTTTAAAGCTAAGAAGCTCGAGGAAGAGGCTCAACGTCATTGGGACATTTTCTATAAACGCAATGAAACACATTTTTTCAAAGACCGCCGTTGGACTACACGTGAGTTTGAGGAATTATTGGAAGGAACCCAGGATCGAAATGGGCAAGAGAGCTTCAGTGATGCGAAATGTCCACGGCATCTATTCGAAGTCGGTTGCGGAGTTGGAAATTTAATTTTTCCACTAATAGAAGAGCAAAAAGAAAAACATTCCGGTATACATAGTTGGTTTTATTACGCTTGCGATTTTTCACCACGCGCTATTGAATTTCTGCGTTCTAATCCACTATACGATGAGCACCGCATGTGCGCCTTCCAGTGTGACATTACCACGAAACAAATGCACGCGTACATATCAGCGTGTTCGCTGGATATTGTTACAATGATATTTGTATTATCCGCAATACATCCTGATAAATTTGCCACAGTTATAGAAAATATTTATCGGCTCCTGAAGCCGGGTGGGGTTGTGCTCTTTCGCGATTATGGACGTTACGATATGGCACAGCTGCGTTTCAAGCCAGGAAACAAGATTGCTGAAAATTTTTACATGCGCCAAGATGGAACCAGAAGTTACTTCTTTGCTGAGAATGAACTAGCAGCATTGTTTACAAATTCCGGCAAATTTGAGGTAATTGAAAACTCGTACGTTCACAGGAGAACATTGAATGTGAAACAGGGCATCGATGTGCCGCGAATTTTTTTGCAATCAAAGTTTCGGAGGAGATAATTTGGAAAATAATACAACTGATATTTTTTAAATTCAACCTCCGTAATTTATTAGTTGTATCATTATAATTAAATAATATAGATAACATTTTGTTAGGTAACATTGAATACGTACATTTAAATATACATACATACATTTATGGATTAAAATTTATAATTCTTAAAAGATTATATTTTTCGTAACTAGCTTATTGACTATTGCTTATTATTTGAACAGTAGGTAAGAGTCGTGAGAAGTTCGAAATGAAAAAATCTAATTGACTAAAACACAGAAATTTAAACTCAAAATATTAACAAGTAATTTTCAATCAGAAAACAAAACCGACTTCAATTCTCATAAAAAAATTTAAGATTATCGTTAATTTCTTCATGAACCGATGCTCGTATTTAAACCAAATTAGTATGGAACACCTTTGAGGTAACACCTTTCCTTTAAAAAAAGAATTATTGAAATCGGTTAACTTGGTCCAGAGTTATGCGGTAACTTACATACAAAAAATGTTTCGACGAATTGATAACCTTTTCCTTTTTGTTAAGTCGGTTAAAAAAAAAAATTTACATACATATCTACGAATAAATATCGCACTCTCAAATGGTTTACTACATATTTTGCAAAAAGAAGCGAATTTGTTGTGGAGCATGTAATCTTTTTGTGCTCATATGTAATATTCGTATTAGATCCATGCATATATGTATATACATACATACGTGCATATGCATATGCTTTCATTGCGAAAATAAATTATTTAAGTACACATTTGTCAAATTACTCATTCAATATCTTTCTAACAGATTTTCACATATTTCTAATTTATGAGCCTTCATTTCCATGTGAAAACATAAAAAATAGCCACACAAATACCTTAGAGTTCTTTTTTCATGTGTTATAGACCTAACTTTTAAGCCTCATTAAACCTAGTCACCACTTCTCCATTCATTCGATTTACACCTAGCAACAATTTTTTTACATGTAATTTGTTTTTGTTGTTAAACTAAGAGAATTGCAAATAGTTATTGTAATATTAAACAGCTTGAAGTAAAATTTTCGCTCAAAATACATTCATTAATAAATGCTGGAAGCATGGCCCCAACATTTGGCACAAATGCAATAATCTCTTATTGCTTTCCTGTCTGAAGAAATCGCAGCAAAACTAAAATGTCTGGAAGCCTAGATGCACTAATCCATACTCACATCTCCTACATTAGTATTGCCCCCGACAACCACGCCACCAACAATTTGCGGCATTTCAATACTCGAATCAAAGCTTTTCGTTATTAAGTCACTGCTCGTAATTGAATTCGTGTTGCTTGCTACGCTAGTATTAGTCATCACATTACCACCTCCAATACCGCCCCCATTTAGTTCACTGTCAATACTAAAGCTACCACTGCCATTCTCATTAGCAAGTAACGTTTGCATGGGCAGTAGTTCCGATGTATCCACTGTATCATAGGCTTTGCCCTTAAGGCCTGCTGAAGGACTCTTTTCAAAATCAGTTGTCGCCATATTGGAGCCCTCAGCTTGCAATTGTAGTAATGAGTTGCGTTGCGTATGTTTTTCGAATTTTCGCAGTGGAGGTTTCGGAGGCTCAATTGCTGCACCAGCACCACCACTCTTCCCATCCTTGTCTTTCTCTTTGTCTTTATCTTTATCTTTTTCTTTATCTTTAGATTTTTTAAATCCAGCAATTAACGCTTTATGTGCTTGCGCCTTAATACCTTCCATGCTTGGGCGTATGATGGAGTTACGCGATGATGTGTTTTGTGTTTGTTGTTGATCCTTAGGATCGACTTCTTCGGTAACACTAGGCAACATTGGAGGTCCTTGTGGCATGGTTAGATCCTGAACTTGTATAGGAATATCATCAGGCAACTTTTTAGTACGGAATGATGCATTCGTGATCATCGATTTCGATATGGCGGTGGTCACAGTTGTTGTTGCCGGTGTGAGTGCCACACTAAGTCCCATTGGTCCATCGCTAGGTTGACCTGAGGGGTTCGCGTGGAGTGAATTCCGCACGGCGCTTGTTACCAGTATAAGCTCCGTATACATTTCAAAACAGGCACGATGATGTATATCGTCCAATGTTTGTATGGCCACAGTTCCAAACCCATTAAACATCGCAAAGTAAATAGCATGGACCAACTCTACCAGGAATGATGAGGAAAGTGGAATGCGCGGTGTTATTGACTTGGGTACAAGTGTGCCACTCGAATCAGAACTATACAAATTATTTAATAATTTTAGTTGCTCAATTAGGAATACATATGCATTTCGTTAACTTACCCATAAGAGATTCGATGTGCGTGTTGCTTGGAGAACCCTTGATTGACTAATTGTGATGCTACGCGGCATAGATGTATTAACGCTGATTTTTGCGTAAGGCTTACTTGCTGATTGTAGCAGAACATTAATGCAGTCATTATTCGCAGTCTATTCTGAGCTGTAATAGCCTCGATCTGCGGGTGGGGCCCCCATTTAATTTCTCGATTGCAGTTCTCTTCCCATCGGCGTAAATCAGTCATCGGCAGGTTTTTTTCTTCATGATAGACCGACGCTTGCGCCAGTATTGGCATACGGAATGTGACTACCCGTTGCCCACTATCTTCTGTCGATACTTCCGCATTATAAATGCAAATAAGCAAGGTCTCGACACTTCGAGCCCCCTTTTTGTCACCACCAGCGACTGCGTGCAGGTACGTATAAATTAGCACTGGAATGAACTGTAAAGGAAATTTACGAAGTGTGTCCTCCGGAGCGCGATAAAAGGCCAACAATTGCTGGCATATGTCATGAACCAATGCTTCATGGCGTTGTCTCTCACTGAATATTGTATAAATGGCTTCAGCGATTTCAGGGTCGGTCTCATGTTCCACAGCAAAGGCCATCACTTCAGCAGGTTGACTTTGTACGCGGCGGTAATCTGCCAGCCAATCTTGAACAATTGATTCCGCCATCGTTGCTTTGCGTTTAAGTGTTGGAGTTGTTCCACAATAATTGCCGTGAAATTTACTTTCTTTGACCACTCTCACTCTTGTACAAATTCGTTAAGTTTAGTGCAGTTAATTAATAAATATGTGAAAATTAGTTTTTGACGTAACTTTTTCCGAAATCAATTTATCAATTCGTCACTGGTGCTTCTTCAGGAAAAACTAACAGTTCACAGTATACTTACAAGGTGAAGTTAAAAAGGTGTTCGCACGGGCGATTTTTCAGGCAACTTTTGCATTCAACTCACGCAGGGTTGCACGAAAAAAAAATTGAATGGCTAAAAATATCAAAATATTCGCCATAAAAAGGCGTTTGCACTGTTCAACTTTGCATTCTACTTTTGGTTGAACGGCCTTTCAACTAATCGCTTTCAACAAAGTTGGTCGCCAGCCAACATTTAGCCATTCAACTTTTTTTCGTGCAACACTGCGTGATTTAAAAGCAAAAGTTGAACGCAAAATCGCCCGTGCGAACTCCTTTTAAAAGTTATGATTTTGAATGCCAAGTATTAGAATCAAAGAACGTACATCTACTTCATATATTATATATTAATTATATAGCTTTAGATTCTTTGCTACAAGTAATTTGTTATCAGCAGCCGGATTCCAACATTTGCTATCGCTAATTTCGATCGCCAAAAATCTCTAAACGTATTGCAGGTGCTCCTAAAAACATGCAACATCTAGTTGCATGCCCGCCACATAGTAGGAATGTGATGTAAATTGATAAGCAGGTCTAATATTCTGTTCAATTGGGAGTAGGATTTTCAACATCGATTTTTCCGATATCGATATTGTATCGATTTTACATGCAATGAATTAAATCGATTCATGATATCGATAGTTTCTTAAATATCGAAAATTCCTACCACATTGCCAGATTTGCCATAACTAATTTGAAATCCATCAATATGGATCATGATCCAAATATCAAAAAAAAAACTTGAACGTACGACAGGCGCCCCACACTGTGATAAATTAACGAGTAGCCAGTAGCCCTGTTCGCGTACGCACTATCCAGGAAATCCAGTGCTAATTTTACTGGTTTTTTACTGGATGTCGTTTTTGTACGCAAACACCAGCAAAAGAGGGGAAATTGAGAGAGCAAAAATAACAGCTGAACTTGCAAGTTTTACTGGATTTCTACTGGATACATTTTTACTAGAAACTATTTGCTAGTAAGAAAAACAGCTCATCGCATGATGCTTAATGTAATTCACATTAACAAAATAATTGTTTGTGGGCTTTTAGACTTGCAATTGACAAAATAAACCTATTTAAGTATATAATAAGATGGAAAATGCTAGTTTTCTAAGTAAATTGCATCGGAAAATGACAAATTAATCAGCTGTTCTTAAAACCAGCAACCTTTTGCTGGTTTTGCGTTTTCGTACTTTCTTGCATATTTCACTCATTGGGAGTAAATATTGGCTTCCTTTCGAAATTTGGTTACTGGCAAGTTACCGGATATTTCTTGCTGGAGAATACGAAAACACAACTAGTGATAATTTTTTTCGATATGTGGTTAGTTATTTTTGCTGAGCGCTGCGTTACCTGATCACCGCAGTTGTTTCTAGTAGTGTTGTCACCACTACACACCACCACAGTTCAATTTATAAAATTAATCCAACTTTTTTAGTCTGACTTTATACACGGCAAACTTACCAAAAGTTACCAAAATAAAAAAAGTTGCCAAGTTACCAAGAATTCAAAAAGTTACCTATTTTGATCACATGTGAACGAATGTGGCAACCGTGCTGAAAATAGTTGCGTTCGATAACAAAATTAGCCAACACCAGCCAACAATCAAAATCAAGAGAGTAAGCGAAAATTCTCTCCCAAAGAGATGAAAAAGCAAAAACGTAAACGAACAGGAAATTAGCCATTACTTGCAAAAACCGGAAGAAGAAGACACACCAGCTGACTTTGTTTATGTTTTATTCGTAAACAAACTGATATTCATGTTGCCTCCATAGAAGAAAACAGGAAAGTGAACGTTCAATGTTCGCCAGGAGCATTTCTAGAAGTAAAAAATAGTTGGCGCTATTATAAAGTTACATAGCAGGCAGCCAAAAAGCATATAAATACCAAAACTCGGAAAGTGCAATTTTGTTTGTTTACAGAAATTGCAACCGTATGTTTTGTGATCTTATGTTTTCATGTTGGATAATTTTTGCTGACTAAAATTTTGCCAGTACAAAATGAACGCTTCTCTTGCATCAAAATGAACGCTTGCTCTCTCAATTTTTGTGTGTTGGATAATTTTTTGTCGTTATCGAACGCCATGCAGTAAAAATTTGGAAACTATTCAAATTTTTGACTTGTCGAACGCACCTAATGTCGATTATTACAGCAGGAAGCAGAAACGTGCGGCATCCCCATTCCACCTTACGTCAGTATAACAGCTGATCATGTTTTGCCTATTCTGTGAATAGTGAAGGAGACTGAGAAGAAGAAGAAAACGGAGGAAATAAATGACCGATTGTGAAAACAAAAAGGATATATTTATAAAAACAATTGCATCCTAGTTTGGTGTGTCACATGGAAGATGTTAGCTGATGACATTGTAGATATCGATGACGATACAACTGTGATACAAGAAAAGCACATACTAAGAACTAAAGGGAAATGTAGTAAGTACAATTCAGTTAATGCAATGTAATTGCTCTTATTTTCTTCATTTGTAGAAGCCTATTTACGTAGCACTGACATATACCTTGAACTGAAAACAAAACCCCGTTTCGGCAAATGCAGAGGTGTAGGCGAATCAGAATGGAAATTTCAATATCCGATGGAGCGGAAGCCTATTGAGAAACCACCAGTAGTTTACAGTACAATTTCTAGTGATATATGGTACCATGTGGCGGATCACATTCCACCTGAATATGTTCAAACGTTCGCTTTAATATGCCGTCAAACCGCGGATTTCGTCAACACTCGCAGATTTTGGAATACCATTTACAAAAAATACTGCCTTAAATTCGATACTGATAGCAGTTGGATTCTTGAATTGCCTGAACACTTGCAGGCCCATAGTATACGCGACAGCGATAAAGCCACTATGAGAGCCAGTGTGGTAGAAGCGCTCTTTCGTACCTATCCACCATTATCAGATCGAATCAAACAAGGATATTCTCTTGATAAGCTACTTGGATCCACATACGAATCTTCCTGGCATGAGCAAGAAAATTGTGTTTGGGTTATGTGCTACAAGTTTCGTCAGAAAAATGTAGCTGAAGCCAAACAAGTTAAAGATTTTGCTGAAATCTTTCCAAGTATAGCCGAGACCGATGACTGGGAGACATTGGCGGAAAATTCAGCATGGTGCCGAAAGCATTACGTTGTCAAGGAAAAACACGTCAATGATGGCATCAGTTTGTTGGTAATACGTTGCGAACGTTTCATACCATTTCCCAACCAATTGCTTTATGAAAACGGCGGATCACGTGTTATGCTTTCGGCGACCCGACAAATGCTTGCTAAAGATATGTGTGGCACAAATTTAGAGCTAGATTTTGGTGGCCGCTCAAGCAAAGTCGTTACCACAGTCAAATATCCTAAAGTTGTAAGTTGTAAAGTTTACCCTTGGTGGCACCCTGATTTCCGCAAATATGTTAAATGAAGTCGTTTAATAAAAAAATACTTAATGTTGTAAGTAAAGTTCTATAGTGCGTATGACTGAATATTATTTTAAATTAATTAAATTCCTGTTGTTATTTTGTTCATGGAAGTCATTCAACTTATATATAGGTATTTTGCTTTAAGACGATCTTAAAAGTATTTAAATGAAGCAACTTGAGCTCTTTTTGTATTATAGAGCTATGTATGTACATGCTGATGTATTTAAAAAAAAAAACTATGGTATTTTATAAAAAAAAATATATATACTGATAACAGTAATCGATACAATGTGATAAATCGGGCGATAATTTCCTGCGTCTATTATTATTGCGACCTCCATGTAAGAAGAAGCAGTAATGAAAATATTTTTGTTTGCGTGGACAAGAATTTGGAAAATTAACTCCCTAAAATGAATGTAAGCGAAATTATTTTTATTATATCGTCTTTACCTGTATATTACTATTCTCGCAAATTAGGAAGCCGATATTCCGATTGATATACACACCTTAAAGCTGCAGGATTGGTTGGTAAGCAGAAGGATTGTGCCCAAAACTATTCAGAAAAATATCAAGGAGATACGCTCCAAGATTTCAAATGCACTTCAAGATATGCCAGCAAATGACCAGTTGATCAAACTGTTGTCCGGAACAAGTAAGTAGATTAGAGCCATACGATGGAAGAATAGTTTAAATATATGTAAATTTATGCACCAATATCCGTCGCAGATATAAACTACTACCATTGCAAGGAGATCGTGGAGACACTGAAACAAACGGAAAAGGAAACAAAAAGCGTGTTTGGCACATATGGCAGTCAAAGAATGAAGGACTGGCAGGAGATATTACGTTTATATGAAAAAGATAATGTCTACCTTGCAGAAGCTGCGCAGATTTATGTACGTAATGTTAATTATGAGGTGCCTGGAATTCGAAAGCAAATGACAAAATTAGAACAGCAAAGTGATGAATGTTTGAAACGTGTTCAAGATCTTGGCAAACCAGAAACACAATTGCTGGCCGAACACGCAGCTCTATTGCAACAACTAGGCATTAAGGGCGAAAACTTACGAGAAGAGTTCTTACAAGTAATGGGTAATTTACCCGACATGTATACACATTCGATTCGCAATATTGGAAAATTGCAAGAAGCCATAGATTTATTCTCAGAAGGAAGTGACAAAATTAGTTTACCAATATTGCGACATCTTATCGAGTTCGGGAATACAACCGTCTATCAATACATCCACAAAGAAGCGCCCCTAACAGTTGAAGAGCCGACAGTTAAACTCAACTTTAGTGAAGATAATGTTGTTACAAGTGCCACGGGTGAAAACGAGATCGATTTTGGAGGTGATGAAAATGGAGGCACTTCATCTACAATATCCGCAGAAATTATCGATTTTGGTGACATCACTTTGGAAGGCAACAATAGCTCCATAGCGGAAGGTGATGCAGTAGAATCGGACGGCAACGGTGTGGATATTGACTGGGGGATCGAGGGCGCACCTAGTGATGTAGTGGAGATAAATTTTGACATTCCAATTGAAGAATATGGAATCGTGGTTCAGGGCGCAGGTATGGATGGAGGCATAGCAAAAGGTAGAATTTTTAAATTTACGGTCTTTAAAAAAATTAATATTTAAGTAAACTCTATAATTAGGTGAACAAGCTTTTACAATTCTGGATTCACCATCGTACCGTGATCGTTTTCTGGACGAGATTTATGAACTTGATTCATTCTTACGCATGCGTTTGTATGAGCTTAATCAACTGGATTCGTCGAGCAACATTATGTTCTCGCTGATGGATAGCATTTCTACATACGACGCAGAAAGTATACGAAAAATGCTAACGAATATCGAACAGATTTTAGTGGAAGTACTAAGCGACCAAACGCGTCATCTATTCCAACTTAAACATTCGCCGAAGTATGCTGATTTATTAGCAACTAAGTTGAAACAAATGACAAAAGCTGTGGATAAAATACGTGACTCTAAAGAGGTTTTAAAGAAACGTTCTGCGGAGTTGATGAAGCAGCGTGTTGATTTGAATCCAGTGCTAGCTGAGCTAATACTACAAACTAAAAGGCTGCAATTGAACATTGAAAATGATATATCTAAACGCTACAAAAATCGTGTTGTTAACTTGATGGGAGGAGTAAATTGAAGCAATGTCCTTTACGTGTTAGCAAGAAAAAATATATACTTTAATTTAATTAAACTCGCAAATGATACAGTTTTCAAATTAAATTGGATAGATATTGGTACCTAACTGTGCATACATATGGGTGCTTACGCCGACTTAAGAAACAATCGAGTGATATATGTGTTCGTCTGGATTGTCGGGAAGCTGGCTTTGGTATAATGCGGCATCACTTTTATTTAAACGACAAGGACTTTTTTGACAAGCACGCGTACCTACTGCAATACCAGATTACGTTTCTATAATCCGTTATTGAATGAAAACTGCGAAAACAACGATTGGCAATTTTTTCCGTTCAACACCCTGTACATAGTGTAGTGCATTCCAATGATTTCCGGTGTGCATTCCAGAAAAATTCCAGCAAGTTTGACATTCCATTTTGAACTGACATCCCAATTTATTTATTAACGCCAGGCGAATTTATACAAGGTGGTATTAAAGGCCCTACACACGCATTGATTTATCGGCCAACCAGTTGACCAACCTACTTAACGAAATTCCCTACAAACGCACCAACCAGTTGGCCGATTTCACTTGAGTGAGAGTTTTTGAACTGTGAAAAACACAACCGCATTGTCAAACTTTTAAGCTACGCTAGGAATGTTTCTCATTTTTATGTATTGGTTATTGCTACCGCCTCGTTTTCACAAATTAGACGCATTTTCACTAGCGAAATGAACTGAGAAACACATGTTAACGTTAATGCGCCGTTAAAAAAATGAAATCGTATTTTAGGTTGCCAACTTGTCTACACACAGAGCAATAATTTTGCCAACCTGCCTCAAAAATCAAAAATTTTTGATTTTCTCCTACCTGACGAACTACTTGACAAAGGCTTGCCAACTTGCCTACACACGGCTTATTTACCACCAACTTCTAGCGGTTGGCCAGCAGATTGGCCGATAAATCAATCTGTGTGTAGCAGGGATGGAAAATTAAATTTTCTAATTGTACCTAATTTGTAAAAGAAATTGTAACTGGAAGTAGATAAATGTACCGAAAAAATAAGTATGCGCCTTTGTTCGCAGTCTATCCTTCGTTCGAAAACAGGTTCTATCGTCGATTCTTGCTTTGATGCAATCAACTATAAGAAAAATAAGTAAGGATTTTATGTAGAATTATTCGGCAACGTTTCAAATGTACTTAAAATGGGGCGATTGTACCGATTGTACTTTCAAATTAACATTGGGCTGAAAAAAGTACAATTGTACCTACTTTTCCATCACTGGTGTGTAGGGCCTTTTACTGGCGAATTTAGATATTCGCCGCGGTGCTGCTTAATGTCAAAATGATGTGTTTGTTGTAATATGAATTCGTCTTGTTTACAACAAACACATCATTTTGACATTAGAAAGTACCGCGGCGAAAATCTAAACTCGCCAGTAACACCACCTTGTATAAATTCGCCTTGATTGAACGTTTTTCATTCTGTTTAGATTTTAGCTAGTTCAGTCTTTGTTTTTCATTGCATCTCGCTATATATAAAAATCCAATAAGTCCGAGCATAAGGAACTAAAATTTTCTAGTAACTATTTAAGGACAAAAAGCACAATCGACGCAAATTAAATTGTATACCCATGATTTACTAATTTCATTCACCCAAGTTGTGTTCGTGCGGGAGCATTAAAATTCACTAAAAGCCCGAAAATTGTGCATGTATTTATAAAATTGTAACGAAATTGAACAACTACTATTGATCAAAAGTGTGCGACAACATAATCGGGGATAACCTTAGCGAAAGGAAAATTATTGTACAAAAAAAATCCGAAAGGGAGAAACCCAAAATTACAGCGCAAGCAGCAAGCGGAAAGCAATACGACGGCGGCGTGGAAAACTTCAACGTTTAGCTACGCTTGCACACTTTAGGCAGCGCTGCCAGCGTCAAGTTGAAGGATAAATTATAAAAATATATATATACATATATACACTTCCATACACAGTAAAATTTTGCACAGTACAAGACGCTGAACGCGACATTAATAAAATAGAAAGGATGGCCTCTAATTTGCGTCAAATCCCGTTGACCTGCAGTGGTCATACGCGCCCCGTAGTGCATGTGGATTTTAGTGACATTTGCGAGAGCGGTTACTTTCTCATTTCGGCGTGTAAAGGTAATTACATATTTTAAGTGTGTAAAAATTGCTGATTTTATATTGTTACAACATTTTTGTAGGATAAAAATGCTTCAGAATTTTTTCTAAATAAAGGCATTTTTGTGTCTATAGGACGGTGTAAGCTATGTTCAGGAAAAATAAATTGAGGTGAAGCTTCGATCTGCTGCCCTAAAGCTCAGGAAAGCAAGATGAGGAAAATAGTAGCATTTAAGTTTAAATTTATCTCGTTTTGAAATCATTGCCCAAGGCAAGCCTTGACCTACATACACTTGATGACGTTGAAATTGATTAGGTAAAGCAAAAGGTTTACAATCATAACGAAACCAGTTATGACTTTTGTTCTGCCCTATCTGCGATAAGTACCTTTATATTATGCCTATACATACATATGTACGAACATACATCCATTTAGCCCAGCCGGTTGATTGTCTAGCATTTGCTTAATATTGAATTATACATGCTGTAAGGCAATCAGTTCAAAAGATCGCTAACTGTTCGTGGCCTCCATCGATGCTCTGACTTGCCTGGGTCGCGAAATGTTTAACGAAAGACTTTACATTGCTTACTGCTTTGTGCTTGGCTGCAGAATACTCAGCTACAGTTTGTTCAGTTTCTCGATCGCTCGTTGCCGCATATCACTTGTTGTGAGTTTTGCTCATACGGGAAGTACCTTGAAGTTGTCGCTTGTTTTTTTGCTTTGCCATTTTTGTTGCTGTTTGTTTGTCTATTTGTTATTTTTGTTTATTTTATTGTACATACATGCAATCAATTTTAATTATTGTAGAACATGTTCTTCACTTTGTTACTATTACTTTACTTATTTAAACTGATAAAAGCTGGAATTGCGTTATTATTAATTAGGGATGGTTTATTATAGTATACAAAACTTTTTGCCAAGTTTGTACATTTACCTATATATACATACGTTTTTGCATGGCAAAGTGGACAAATGTAGGCTAAAGTGGTCCAAAAATGTATGTAAAAAAAATAAGGTCGGATTTTTAATGCCGGCACCCCCTAGGATTGTTCTATATTGAAAAAAATTATACAACTATTTTTTTATTTTGAAAAAAAAAATAGGGAGTGCTCAAAGCGCTCAAAGTTTTCCGTGTATTTTATATGGAGGAAAAACAACTTTTCATAGAAATAGTGTAGAATTCTTGAAAATCAACAGTTTTCGATCGGAAAACTTTTCTTATCTTCAGGAGATTCCCAGTAATAATACGCAATTTTCTCTTTAACCATTTTTTCATAGTAACTATATTTTATAGGTCCTCCAAAACTCATAGAAAATGCAATGAAAAAATCTTTAATCATAAAAAATGGTTAAATAAACAATTGCATATTAATACTGGAAGTCTCCTGAAGAGAACCACAGTTTTCCGATTGAAAAATATTGATTTTTAAGAGTTTTATACCATTTCTACGAAAAATGGTTTTTTCTCCATATAAAATACATGGAAAACTTTGAGCGCTGTGAGCACCCCCTAAATATTTTTTGATTTCAAAATAAAAAAATAGGGGTATATTTTTTCGATATAGAACAATCCTAGGGGGTGCCGGCATTAAAATTCCAACTTAATTTTTTTGGCTCTCAATGTTATATTGAATATACAAAATATGCAATGTTTATGGTTGCAATGTTTCACAACTCAGCATATGAAAACAGATTAAATACTGCAGTAGAACAGTATCCAAACATTGTATTGGTACGTTTTGGAAGTCAGCCGTTTGTTCACAGTGACATTAGAGGCCTTTATAAGGGAGTAAATTTTGTCAAGAGCATACGTTTGTAGGAATTTAATAATATTATTCGAGGAGCTTTCTCCAAAATTTATGAGAAACGTTTTTACAATGATATTAATAAAAGCCGAAGCTTTAATTTAGGCTTGTAGACAACTCAACTTTTAGACAACTCAACTATTTATTGTTATTACCGTTCACAACTGTTTTCACTTGACTGTAGCCATTGAAAAAGTCGGCAATTCGATACAAATTTCGATATTTTAATACTATTGTTTTTTTTTTTAATTATATTAAAATAATGAACAGCAATAAAATAGAAATCAGTTATGTATTATGTTTTACCGATGAGCCCAAGGATGCTGGTGCCAGACAACTGACAGACAACTATGTTTTCAAAGTTGAGTTGAGTTGTGTCCCACAATACCAATTTACAACTTACAACTCAACTATCTTCAAAGTTGTGAATCATAATAGGGGCACTAGATGTTTAGATACATATAATAAAAATAGTTTTCGTTTTATTTATAATTAATGATTTAAATAATAGAGCAAATCATTCCATTTAATCTTAATACAAAATTTGAATCAAGTCAATTTTCTTAGTGTACACACACTCGTACATTTCCTAATTGCAATAATTTGTTTATATATGTATTTTTCCAAACATGTTTCTTTGTTGTGCGTAACAGTTATGCTAACAATGCAACACAACTGAGTGCATATGAAATTGCAATTAAACAACAACAATCGACGATCAGGTAGGTAGTCAGATCGATAAATAAAGAGAATTTATAATAAAAACGCCTGTTCACCTTGATTTAGAATGTCTACACGATTAACAAACAATGTGCGCGAAATTTCAACGCCGACTGCACGTCGACAACAACAGCGATATGCTATTAAAATAACAATATCCGGCGAATGCGCAGCTGCAAGCAGATTTTAGAGACATAAATTGCTGTAATATGCAATGTACATACAATGAAAATGCGAAAGTGCTGTATAAAATGTAGAATAATGGGGGCGTTTATATAGGATACGTAAATTTAATTATGTACATACTTTGAAATATATTTCAAATCTAACGCTAATCGTTAGTTATATAGATTTTTTGATGCAACCTATTGGAGCATTATAATAGGAATATTAAAAACCGGCATTCTTTTCATTTACTATAATCTAAAAAAAAAAAAATTAAAAACATCAAATTACTCGAAATAAATACACATTTCCTTTCAGGCTCTACTGGTAATAATAGGTCTCGGTATGTATTCCTACATGAAAATGGCAGCTGTGGTTTAACATTAAATTACATGTACATATACTTACATATAAATTATGAAATATGAAAAATTTCCAATAGTTGTTTACTAATTTAAAATGATGTAGAACAAGTTTGTATTATCAAACAGTAACTTTATTAAAATTCCTATAATTCCAATCCCTACATCTCGATTTGAGGATTCTCTAAGTGCAATTTATATTCCATCCATTCTGCCATACGTTTGACGCTCTGGTTATGTGGCAGCAACGTGGATTCATACAATTTTCGAACAAAACATTTCGGGCTGGCACACTACACTGCACTCACTTGCTTACATTGTATGTATAGCTGCCACCAATCGCGTAATCGGCTCACCAGCCAGCCAGTCAGTCGCACTCAGGTCGTTGGCATTGATGCAGTCATTGAGTCAAGGTTGCTTCCGCTTTTTTTGTTTGGCGACGACTGCTTGCGTGTTGCACTTTTTGCTGTAGTATGCGGTGTTCGTTGCTTCGCCGATTTCTGTAGTTTATTTTATTTTGTATTACACTTTTGTAATACGCATGTTTTGTATGTGTGTATGTATGCGCATTGCCTGTATGTATTTTAGTTTTTAATTTTTTTGCCCAATCGTTTGTTGAATATTTTTGCTGGACAGGATTTCAATGTCGGAGTTGACCTTGTTGATTCTTTCCTTTATAGATTGCAAAGAGTTCAATGTTCAAGGTTTGTTTTCGAAGGAGATTATAAATAGAAAAGTTATTTAAAGCTTAAGAGATTTCTTGAGACGATAAACCAATTTCTTCAGCGTTGCGTTTTCATCAATCGACTCCTTCGTATTTAACTTTTGAATATATTAACGACTTATATCTGGATTGAACCACTTTGGATGTTTCAATATTGATATACCAATACGAAAATTTGCAGGTCTCAAATCCATTTTTTTTTTAAGTAAACAGCGCCACCGAGTTTACTTTATTAAATTTTTTTAAATTGTTTTCATTCCAGATGGCAGTCCTATGCTGCGACAAGGCGATACCGGAGATTGGGTGGGCACGTTCGAGGGGCACAAGGGCGCCGTTTGGGGTGTGGCGCTGAACAAGAATGCCACTTTGGCCGCGTCTGGTGCGGCTGACTTTACTGGAAAAGTTTGGAACGCCGTTACGGGCGGTGAAATCCACAGTTTTCAACATAAGCATATTGTGAAAACAGTTGCATTTGATAGAAACTCCGAGAACATTGTCACTGGCAGCAATGAGAAATTGGTGAGAGTTTTTAATTTGGAGCAACCGAATGCTGAGCCGGAAATGTATGCTGGACATTCCGGTGCTTTGAAACGGGCACTCTTCTGCCGCGATGATAAATGTATTTTGTCGGCAGCTGAGGATAAAACCGTACGTTTGTGGGATCGTTTAACTGGCAATGAGATACAGCGACTACAATTTCCTCACAATCCAAACAGCTTAGAAATATCAGCTGATAACCACATTCTGACCATAACACATGGCTCGACCATCAGCTTCTGGGAGGTGGACACAATGAAAAAGCTGAAAGAGGTGAAAGTGCCGACAAATGTATCGTCGGCTAGTTTACATCCAGACAAACATGTGTTTGTGTGTGGTGGTGAAGATTTTAAAATGTATAAATTTGATTATATAACTGGTAATGAGATTGGTAAGTTGTACTAATATAGAGTATGGCAGCCAATTGTTTTTCTTCTAGTATTTATGTTTGCTTTCTTTTTCTTCTCTAGAATCTTTTAAAGGACATTTTGGTCCTGTACATTCGGTCAAGTTTAGTCCAGATGGTGAACTCTATGCCAGTGGCTCTGAAGATGGCACGTTACGACTTTGGCAGACAACTGTGGGCAAGACCTACGGTCTCTGGAAGTGCACTGAACCAGGAGAATTGAATAATTCAATGAATTCACCTCGCGAAGTACATGCCAACTAAGGACAAATTTGTTAATTGATTTGACGTAGACGGATTTGTGTACACAGCCAAAAACTGCAGACCGATACAGCATCAAGAATAAAATGAATCTTAGCAATTTTTAATTAAGCAATGTCTTCACTGGATTTTAAGCAACACAATTACTTTTCATAACAATATATTATTTCATAAGAAACCATACACGAGTGAATGATTTTGGACATTTTTTAAAAGAAAACAAAAATAATATGAGAAAGTGAAAATTACGGCTTTTGTATTAACATTTACTTCAACAATATTAATTAGCTGGCAAAATACTGAATTTAAAATGCGTATTATGCAAAGAACTTAAAATTGTTTTATAATTTTTACTTAATGATTGTAAATCGAAGGGTTGAGCATATTTTAATATGTAATACAATAAGTTATTTCGAATAAATACGTACACATTTTCATACGTGGTATTCATATTTGCTTTTCTTTAAATGTAGGCCAATACTCCGGGATAGGCTTTATACATGAGTTCCTGTCGCCCAACCATGCAGATATATTGTGTTAAAATTTAGTAGACTATCTCCTTGGCTTATTTCTGGCCTCTGTTGTAGATGATCGAACCAGCGTGATAGGTTTAAGTAGTTCTCTTTCTCGAGGGGCGTAAGGGATTTCTAAAAGGGGAATAATCGATCAAACTAAATATAAGATATTGGTGGTGAACGATACAATTTTATATGTAAAAATTTTGGACAAAGTTATATAAAATTTACCGAAAGGAGCGATTCAGATTGTTAATATTGGGTTAAAAAGGTTTGAATGTATGCGCTCGCCCATTCTTTTTATATCAGGTGATACTAGTAGCAATCTCAAGAATTTCATAGAGACCACAAGAGTAAATCCTAAAGGCGTCTTTCAATCGTTATAGCTGTTGTGTTTCGAATGCTTCCGAGTTAAAGTTCTTATTAACAAGATACTCACCACTAAATCGTAGATTGCAAAGAATATAGCTAAGTCCGATATAGTTATGAAATAACCCACTAAATACGATTTAGTGGTGAAAAGTTTATTGAAATCACGCAGCAGTTGCTGTGAGATGTGCTTGTCCTTGGAGCCTGGTGCCACATACAATACTGCAAATTCAATCCACTGATAGACTTCAGCGCTGATTTCTCGAGTTGCTGCACTGTTTAATGCTATCTCAGATTTTGATTCTTGTGCAAGATTATTTAGAATAGTGGCAAAGCCCGAAACAGTTTTACTATTTTTTGTGCGAGTTACTACCTAAAATATAATAAAAAAAAATTAGCAAAAATATGTATATAGCGATACTGAAGACAGTACCTTTTCTGAATTCAATTTTACATCGCCAGCTGGTACTCCGAGGGAGTTGGCGATTTTGGTTATTGTCTCAACTTCGTACATTTTGAATTTTTTGGAAAAAATGCTATTTGTTTTTATTTATTAACCAGAAAATGGACAATTGTGAAGTTTTCTCGCCTTTCCACGTGAAGATAAATATTTACTAACAGCTGTTTAACGAGCTTTGCCAGATTGTTTAAATGCTGGCGGGCGCTTTTATTTATGCGGTGATACCATCTTTGAACGAAGAAATCGTAGTGAAAATTATTTCGTTCGCCGTGCTATTTGTAAGTGAACGAAGAATTATTTGTTCGCGTTGCGCCTACACTAGTGGGTTACGAAAATGTGCTCAATGAAATTAAAATAAATATTTTATTAACTAAATTAAAATATTTTATTTGGTGATCACACATAAAAATATTTTCATTCATGCATTTGTAATGTACATATGTATGTACATATAACTGAAGCGACGTTTAGTCCATTTGACTGCGGCTACCTGATTTGTGAGTTTGTGTGAGCGCCTCATAGGTGATGTCGTACTGTAGTAGGAATATGAATATGGTGGAGGTGCCGACAAGTAGCTAAATAAAAATTTTGTAAACAATTTTATTTGGTTTCTAACTTTATGAAAGTTATGTCTTAGCACTTACTGATGTGATAAAGTTCATATTTAATTCTACCACGCCACAAACAACATTAGTTCTCGTATTTATAATCAATTGCAATATGAAGTGTGTTATCTGCAATTAATTATTAAAAATAATTTTAACACATTTTTAGAAAATTGTACGGCATACCGTTTCTTCCATTTCCGAGTTCTGTCCTTCTATTTCATTCATTATTAATGCTGTACTGTTTTTCTGAAAAAATAAAATAGAATAATACTTTTAAATAAAGAAAGTTTTTTTTTTTCATCAGCCTTGTAACTGGATAAATACTTCTTTGCCAAGTAATATATACGGTCCGTAATTCTTAACCGCGGCCGCTGTGGTGTAGTGGTGAAGGCAACATCACAACAAAATTTGGAAAGGTTTTTCCTTAACAGCGGTCGCCCCTCGGCAGGCAATGGCTAACCTCCGAGTGTATATCCGCCACGAAAAACAGCTTCTCATAAAAATACAATCGCCGTTCGGGGTCTGGGTAAAACTCTAGGACTCCCCGCCGTGTTGTGTAACAACATCAAGGCGCACCCTACAAATTGGAGGACAAGCTCGGCCAAACACGAAGGTTGCAGACAGAGTGGTAGCGAAGTCGACGATGAAGATGAAGACGGATCCGAAGCCGAATTGTTTGCGTTGCGGCCAAGCTGGCGAGTGTTCATAGTGGAAGATGAATGATATGAAGATTTGTTTCTAAATAAAACCTTTTTTTTTTATATAAAATCTAAAGAAAATAAAGAAAAAAACAGCTATTCATGAAATAATTTGTATAGGACAACTTTTGGAGAATTTCGCCACTTGTATTATGTGTTACGGTAAGACGGACAGACATTTTTCGAATATACAAGTATGCCAATTAATACGTTTGATTACATTTTGCCAAAAAAATTTTGCGATTTTCTTGAAAAACGCGTTTTTTCACAATTGCAAACAGTTAAATAAAATGTAAACAACTCATCACAGCAGGCGATTCGTCTTTGAAAATAGTACCGCACAGTTTCAAGCTGACTGCTTGCGCAACCGTCTTCATCTTCGCCTTCGTCTTCGTTTGCCCTGTGATCACTTTCACATGTTTACTACAGCACTGTTTTTCATCTACGTCTTCGTCTTCATCTTCATCTTCGGCTTCGCTTCCACTCTGTCTGCAACCAAAGGCCAAACCTCTGAGAAATTTCTGGAGAAATTGCTGATATAGGGAATTTGCGCAGTCTATGGCCATATTGAGCCTAGACTCGCCACGTCGTCTTCTGCAGGCGGCGTCGTACTCGCTGTTATTATTGTAGCAGCTACTTAGCCCTGTCTAGTTCGGCTTGTCCCTCAATCCCTCAATTATTGCCGTCAAGCGCAACTAACGGGAGACCCAGGAAGTGTGCCATTTCAACTGGGTTGGTCCAGAGGGAGAGAGGCTCCCCTACTCATCTATAATATGGGATGGCGTCTTCCTTGTCAAGTCGCAATCCGATAAAGATGATTGTACTATATCCCATATATTGAGATGTTCTCCTAGTCTGCAGTGTCTTGCAAAAAAGTTTTCGTTTTGCGAGGCTGATAAATGATGGTACTTATATAGCTTTGGTTTTCTATTGCCTCCCTCTCTGCTTTGCTTTGTATCTACCTCCTTGTCCTCATGTAAATTGCCGAAGTATGTATTTGAGTCACACCACACAAGTTCGATTAAGATTCGTTCTTTGCGTCTTTACTGGTATAGGAAGTACACTCAATCGACGTAGATCTACTAATGGTTAGTTAACCCTTGTGACTTAGCATGATACAGTATACGTCTAGCATTCTCTGAGCTGGCTTGCTGTGTATTTACATATGTATGTATGAAGACAAGATTATATTAGCCTACTGGGTTCTATTTAGTACAGAGATCTGCAATGAGTTCTAATGAAATTAGTACACTTAAGTCATAATCCATAAAATTTGGTGCAAATGCGTACTGATACCAACTCTAAAAAATACTATGACTAAATAATTCAAAACAAAACCAAAAACTAACTATATGAATTATCAATTTATGACTCTATCGAGTGTAGGCAATGAATTTTTTAGTACCTCCTGCAAATAATTTGAATACACAAACTTTCTTTGAAGATATAAGAAGAATCTACTAATGCCTTTCGTCGTTCATCCTGACTACCATAAAGTGCGAATTTACCCCCGTATTGAGAAACCGAATCCGCCTAGCATGCTTAGAAAAACGTAAGTTTTAAATATAACTACCAAACACCAAATTACAATACCTGACTCTGTACACCATAATTAAAATAAAGTATGCAGAACATTTTGCCAATATGCATGCTTGTCCAAACCAACGAGTACATAATCCATGAAAATGTGGAGTTAGACGCATCGTCCAAGTATTTGTACAACAGGAAAAGATTAACCGACAAGTTTGTGAAGGATCCAATGTAAACCAGCACCAGTGAGAGGGCAAAAGAATTATTTACTTCCTTTGTGAATATCTGAAGTGTCGAGTAGCTTAATCGAATGTCTTGTAGTTTTTCGCGCAAAACTCTGGCAGACGTTTTTAGCGAAAGCTCCGCGTGCAGGATTTCATTCAGCCAAATTATACGTTGAGCCATGGCATATAGCAGGGTGTAGTACTGTACCAGCGAGAAGCATAACACCAGATTTGGCAACAGATAAACGGCTAGGCTGCGAATGAAGTGCGTCATAATGCCAGCGGTGTAGAAGTAGTCAACGACAGCGGTAGCGACCACATATAACAGTATCAGATACAGATGAGCTCTTATAAAGCGATTCAGTTGTTGATATTCTGGTGGTCTTCCGAATGATATAAGTTTATAATCGAATTCTGCGATTGTGTGCAAGAAACGTCGACATTTTTGGCGCGCCCAGTAGGTAGAGAGTAATATTTGAAATAAGTGCACCAGATAGACTAAATACTCGCAAAAGAACAACGGTTTTTGTACGGTGGGCAAGTCCTTGTCGGATTGCGTGTACTCGCCGTAGATGGTGAAGACGAGACTGACGTAAATACCAATGCTCCAGGTGATGTGGAGTAACATTAAAATTTTATCACTGCAGCTGCTGGTCGTTGTTGGTAGGCGTCGATGAGCGCCATAAGGCAGGCATACAAATAGCTCGGAGAGTATTAAAAGAACATGAACTGAACGATATAGTCGCGTTTCTAATACATTAACGGTAATCTGCTCGCTGGACGAATTAGGCGACGATTTCTTTAGTGGTTTCACCCGATTGCTCGATTTTTGTTTATAAACTATTGCTGACAACATTCTATAAAAGACCGATTGGAATCCAAACACAGACTGAAACGGTTTTATGCGCGTCACGGTGCAGCACGTGGCACCTTGGTTAAGTGCTTCAAATGGTAAAATTAATAGTATATCACATTCTTTGATTAATGAATACAACAGGTAATTTGTGTTTAGTATGAAGCGCGATATTCACACACTCATGATGAATGAATACCCGCTTTGAAGGTACTCGTAGGTTTCCTCTAAAACTAATAGATTTTAATTTTTAAATAACTGAGCAAATCATATGTCAACATGTCGTTAATTATGGGCTTTTAGTGAAATGCATTAGGGCTTCACTGGCCGAACTATGTTAGTATGTTAGTGTACAAATATTCCTGTCGAGAAATTTGTTGATGAAGTGCACGCTACAAGGGTGTGAGGAGTATTCCTTTCTATGCTAGAAAGAACTGGTAGGAAAATATTTGAATGCCCTTAGCAAGCATTTTTCCCTGCAAGAAAAAGACAGTGAATGCACTAATGATTATTATTTTCGAACGGAATAGATGATGAATTATTCAATACGATCCTGTACGAGTCCGGACTAGTCAGAAATAGTCAGAATTAGTCAGATTTTATTGGAAATCGATCCCGTACTCGGTTCTCTGACAATTGAGAGGACAAAAAAAGAGAGTAACTAAGGTCCTCTCTCTGTCGGAAGCCACAAATTCTGGTAAATGTGTCAAAGGATCAGCTGTAGTGTGTTTGACAACTAAATTGGAAACAAAAGGAAAGATCACTCTGTTAATGAATGTTGAAAACTATTTAATTACTTTTTTAAGTGGATGAATTTGAAAGTATTTTTACTTATTTACATGTGTGAGCTGAGTGTGTTTACACACAAAATAAGCAAAATTTCGCTATCAAAATTTTGAGGTTATGTTGAACTTGTCAGAAGTTACCATTTTTTTACTAAAAAGCGATCCCGTACTTTTCAGTGTTACTCTTTCGCTCTGAGCGAATTTTTGTTTATTGACAGTTTTACTACTTTTAGTCCGAGGAATACGGGATTGGATTCCCAAAGGAACAACGCCTAGATATTAATGAGCAGTCTGTTGCGGTTCTGTCGGAATATTAAATGGTAACTTCTGTAAATAAAGTTTTCTTTTAATTGAGAGAGCTCCTTCCAAGAAGCTAGAAGGTGATATAACGAATACTTAGGGTCGGTTGTTCAATGTCTGGTTAACACTAACTACAGATTAAACATCTTTATCGCCATTGGGTTTTACCCAATCAAAGGCTGTTGTTTTGGCGACCTAACCCCGTTTAGATCGGCGATACCCTTCAATAATTTCACGTCATGGAGCAATACCCTGCAGCCAGATTGCTCCGCATCCTTCTTATCCGGGCGGGCATTGAGCCTAACCCCGTAGCAGAAACATACTTCTGCTGCGTTTGGCAGAGACGACTCCATCCACTTCGGTTAGGTGCAATTCCTGCAACGGATGGAGCCACCAAAGAACCTGTTCAGGCATTAGGTCTCACACAAGCTTTGTGGCCCCCTGTTGCTCAAGCCAAATGGCCCCACCAGCCTCCACGATCAATAAGGCCACCGACTTTGCACCCGCGCACCACCGTACCTATACCAACTTTAACAAAGCTGATTGGAACGGCTTCGCGGAAGTTACCGAGCTTTACGGTTCCTGCATTAGATACATCAGTAAATTACATTATAGTGGCCTGAAAGCCTAATATCGAGTTTGATGGCGATTTCGTGAATAAATTTATCGGTCATTCCACCCAAAAGTTACACCTTCCCTACACAACGCTTGAGTGGAAGTGGGTGAGGAAGGAGTGCGCGAGTAGCTGTAGTATTTACACGCCTTAGCTGATTGGTTGACTTTTTTAGTATTTTCTAAGAATTATTTTTGATGGGAGAGTTATCATATCTAACTGATGGCTCACGAGAGAAGATTTCATCTGAATTCTCTGCAAGGTTCTCACAAGCCCCCGATGAAGGTAAAAGCGATCGAGACGAGAGGCATTTTGAGAAAAAGGGTTGCATAGTCGGAAGTGATCGAAAGAAAATTTTAAGGGGAATATTGGAGTTGATAATAAATATTCCCGTATTGCTGAAAAGAGTAATTGACAGTAAGACCTTCCGAATCGACGACGTACAGCTTAGCCGCGGCCAACATTTAAATGAAATTATTTTAAAAAAGTAAATGTCAGAGAAAGTTCTTTCGGGTAAGTGTTTTATTTGAAATTGAAAAAAGGTCTAGAAGAACCACCTTTTAGTTATGATGGTACATATTTTTACGCTTATATTTTAGCATAAAAATCCGAATAAAATGGTTCGTACCAATTAGCTGTATCCTATATTTGTATATTACATACGCTTTCCTAGTGGGTCAAATGCGGATTCACTTTTTGTACGGCACACTAACCTGCTGCAAGCATTAAATAGTGTATTTGTATAGGGTAATAGTTGTCATCACGCCAAACACTTAAATGATTTTTGTACTCATTAAAAATTGAAACAATTTCATATTAATACTATCTGCTAATGTTATCTCTACTCCAACGATTAACGCTGACCTCAGCACATGCATGTGAACACACCATGGATATGCAGTAGTTCCACTTTTGACGCTTGGCAGGATGGTATATCCTGCACAAAATTATCGTTAGCTACATGCTCACATGTAGGATAGTTTTGGAACTGTGAGTACTAGTACGGTAGGCTGTAAGGAATGGATGGACATCAACGATTGGATTACTTCTACGCCTTGTTCAACTGAGTATCGCTCCATGACTAATCTATCTAATAATATTTTGGCGCTTACAATTAGCTCCATGACTAAGTTTTCCAAAGTCTGTAGTACTGATTGTCTGAAACAGAGAAGAAAACAATAACATATAACAAATGTCAAAGGTCTGCATCACCTTTGTTTCACGCTACATATGTGTCACGGATCAAATACAAAGTTACGAAGAGGACTAATGAGCTTGGCCAATAAGTGTAAAACTTGTCATCTTCGTAGAAAATATAGAGGTCAGACCGTCCAATAATCCTTCAAGCAACTGCAGTAATAAACGTCAGATGAGATTTTTAGTCTTCCCAGCGCGTAAACTCCTTTCACACAGTGACCTGTCAGAATCACTATTACAAACGGGAGGTACATATTACGTCCTAGTTTTCGCTCAATGTTCGCTGAACTGACATGCTCACTGCCCAGTGAGTTCGTTTCAGCCACACTCGTCAGCCGTACACCTCCTTGCAATTTCACTGCGACTAGGTTATCAGAGTATATTATCTTATTGACGTTAGATACTTTACCAGTGTGGTGAGCTCCAGTCCCTTTGAATCATCCACTAATCCTTAAAGGGAGTGTGAACGATTAAAAAGCTACTTAAAGCTAATTCAGAAAAGCAACGATCCGTAAAGGTTTTTAAAGTAGCCATAGGTCGATCTTTTATACGGCTGAAGGTTTCCAGTGAGGTCTAAGGAAGTCCAAGAAAGTAACCCTAATTGCTAAAAAATGAGTGCATATGTATGTATGTACATTAGACTGCATCACTCCGCATACAAAAAAAAAAAAAAAAAAATCGGTACTGTTTTTTCATTGGAGTTATAAAATCAATTATATTTTAAGACGTCCACCAAAATATTGCGGAAAAATATTAAGACTTACGTGAGCTGGACCGATTTGAAAATACCTCCGAAAATGGAGTTTTTTATGAATAAAAATAGTTTCTTAAAGATTTTTATTTTTTTTGAAAAAAAATCCCCTCCAATGACAAAACGGTAATAGCTTAAAATATTTTCATAAAAATATTTTTAAAAAATTTAAAAAAATTTTGAACTTTTTTCAAAGAATGGTATAAGAAAAACTTGAATAATTGAACCTAAGCTCTTCCGATTTAAACTTGTAGGGAAAGGTATTTTCTCACCCTTTTTGTTTCTTTGCTAATGATGAACTAACGAACGTCCTTCAAAGTTGAATTAAGATGTGTTGGTATTTGAAAACAAAATTGGGGCTCGAATGACTTTTTTTTTTGCACAGAAATAAAAATAGTTTGAAAATAACTTTCTACTGAGATCCCATTAGTCTAAATCAGAATAGTTTTGACCAGTTATTAAGGTTTTTCGTAAATCAATATTTGAAAAAGTTAAAAAAAACAGCATCAAAAATCTCATTGTTATGATTCCCTTGAAAAGATTTTTAAATATTTTTATACAGATTTTTTAAACTTAATCTGTTTTGTCATCTGAGGGGACTTTTTCATAAAGTTCTTTAAGAAATTATTTTTATTCATAAAAAACTCCATTTTTGGAGGTGTTTTCAAATCGGTCCAGCTCACGTAAATCTTAATATTTTTGCGAAATATTTTTGTGAATGTCTTAAAATATAATAAATTTTGTAATCCCAGCGGAAAAACCGTAACTTTTTTTGGTGATGCAGTCTAATGTACATACATACACATGTAGCCCGCGACAAATCGAACTCTAACCGCCAAAAAGACATAAGCGACATTTTATTTTTTTTTGATGCAGAAATGTTCCTAGAGTATATAGATGTAGTGCATCATCAAATATAAAATTTTGAAAAAATAATTGATACCACAAGGATCACACATACTTAAGCATCTTCGGTACTCTCTTTACAGCACAATGGTGGCACCGGCACTCACACAGAAATCATACCGCAAACTCACTATCCACGCGCCCTTGAATCGCCTGATACACGTACTCGCAGCGATTTGTCAACTATTCTGTGTGGCACCTATTTTAAAGTCGCATCTGCGCAAAAACAAATTTCAACTATTGCAGCGGTTGCATTGTCTTCTTGGTTTGCTTATTCTTATATGCATTTACGCGCTAAGCTGGAGTTATATAAGCACACTAGATCCATCCATAATTCTAATTGAGAAAGTATTTTATTTTGGTGAAATTATAGTCAACAACTTTATTGGTACCTCTATTGTGCTCAGCACTTTTTATTACGCCCTGCACTATAGTACTATTCCGCGAAAAT